TACTGCAATAAAGTAGTTTTCAGCAACACTGAGTGTAGCAGCACATATCTGAAATCCCAGTTTTTAGAAGGCTGAGGCAGGAGGTTCAAGAATTTGAGGTCATGAGGACTGAGCTACATTGTTTCAGGTCAGCCTAGCATGCTAAGCCAGCCTGGGCAATGTAGCAAGATCCTCTCAATATATAAACACCACACACAATGCTCTCCAGAGACACTAATACCTAGCCATCCAGGACAATCACTAGGATTATCCAGTAGAATCACTAGAATCTAAGCAGGATTTTCAGAGTCTATGTGACACTATCTGGTACTCCATCAAGGCCCACCTGGAAGAGGATATAGCCTTAGACCAAACAGTAACTTCAGCTTCTCCCCTTAATTCCTCACTGTCCTCTTTAGCCTCCAAAGGATATCAAAGCTTTTAACACATCTGCTCAAGTGCAAGAAAATGGCAGCTTCCTCCCTCCTTCACATGCTCTCAGGCTTTTCATGATGTGGCGTTTGCTATTTCTCCACATAGCAAACTCCTGGTAGTTACCGAAATAAACCATGAGGTCTCATAACCCATGAGACCCTGCTCCCCAGCTTTGCTTTTGAAATACAGCCTCACTACGTAGCCAAGTTAGCCTTGAACCTAGGATTCTCCTGTCTCTGTCTTGGGAATCATCCTTTGACCTACGCCATACTTTTTGGAATGCCCTTTCCACCCACTACACAACCTCCTACTCCACTCATCCTCATCTCAGGGAGAGCTAACCTCTAACTTCATGGTGTCACTGTGGTGCCACTGGATTAGACATACCACCACTGCCAGGCAAGTCCTCCTCACACACACAACCCGCCCCCACCTGCAACCTTTCATCTGAATCCCAGAGAAGGAACCTGATGCTCACAATATGGATGAAGCTCCTTGGGTAGAGCAAGAAGCAAGCAGGGAAACCTGACTGACTGTAAGAGGCAGTTCAAAGTAAGGGATTCCTCCTAGCACTGAGGAAATGCATCATTCTCCTGCAACCTGGTACCCTTAGGAAATGAGATGTTAAAAGGACAGTAGCTTTTACTTCTCTAGGCTTGTTATAGCTAATCAATAGATGATTAGGAAGAGCCAGTTTCAGCCACAGCAGCAAATCACCAATGTTAACAGCATTATCTGGATGATGGTTCTTAGGGATTGTAAAACTGACTGCCTGGGACCCTCTAAACTAAAGCAGACTAGTTTCCCCCAAGCAACCAAAAGGAGACAGAGCTGAGAGTTCCTGGGCTACTGGCCAGAATGCTGCTGAAGGAAGGGAGACTGGAACTGAACTGGACACCAAGAGATCACCAAGCCCCCAGTTTTCTTATTTAAAATTTTTCAATCATATTTTAATGGTTGTTATGTGGTGGTGGAGAATGACTGTCAGGGTGCATATGTCGAGACTAGAGGACAACTTCCAGGAATCCATTCTCTCTCTCCACCATGTAGATCCCAAGGACCAGGTAATCCGGCTTGGTAGCCAACGCCTTACCCAGTGAGCCATTTCACCAGTTCTATTTTATTTTAAAATATGAAATGCTTCATGAGATTTCATTTCTTCTTCAACAGAGCCATGCTAATCGGCCCTTTATTATTCTAATTTTAGTGTATGTGCTACCCAAATGAGGACCTGCTGACCACCAGAACTCTGCTAAACACTAAATCCAAGCCCATGTCCCTCTGCTGGTACCACTACAAGACTCTGAATCATCAAGGCTATAGCATACCCCAAGGCCCATAGGAAAAGTGGTGACTCTACTTTTTGAATAGCCTCTTTCCCAGAAAGGGAATTTTGAAAAGCAGCCAAGGCACCAAGGTGGTGGTGGCCCAAGCCTTTAATCCCAGCACTCAGGACACAGAGGCAGGAGGATCTCTTTGAGTTCGAAGCCAGCCTGGTCTACAGACTGAGTTCCAGGGCATTAGGGTCTACACAGAGAAACCCTGTCTCGCAAACAAAACAAAACAAACGAAAAAGTAGACAAGGCCCACACACTTCTTCCAACTCTTCAGTGTGGCCAACGTTTAATTCCCAGCCAGAACCGTGGGGTCTGAGGATCTGGTCAGAGTTCCAGTATGAAGTCCCTGATGAAGGCCAGCCTTTTAAGAGATGCAAGACTGGGGTCGATCCTTGCACAACTTGAGGAACCACTGCCCCCCATCCCAATTTCAGCACAAGGGATGAGAAAACAAGCTGAGATCACAGACACACCAGCTAACAACACTCAGCACTCAGCACTCCCCCAATTCTCACGGGAGATTCTAAAATTCAGGTAGCTGAGGATGGGGTCCTGCAGACACTAAGGTCCAGAGGCCAAAGCTAACAGAAACCAAAACCAGCCGCCACTCCTGCTACTCTAGCCAGAGAGATGCCAGACCCTCCGTTCCCATCGCTTGAGTGAAGTGAATCCTTGCATGTAATTCTCTGCCTCCGTGTGCCCAGAGCAGGATCCAAAACTGGACCATCAAGACATCAGGTCCCTGGTGCACTGAGGCTGGATGCAGGCCTCTGCTGCCCAACAGGAGGCCATTCGGTGGCAAACCATAGCACAACCAGCAAGAAACATGAGGGCCTCTTCTGCGGTTTCTACCCCAGACCAAAGGGAAGGGCGCTAGGGCTGGATAACTGACCCTTGGTTTCCTGGGCGAGAGCATGCCAGGGCGGGGCAGGAAGGGTCTCTCAGCCCCGAGTGACACAGCACAGCCAAAGGAGCTCCTTAGGAGCCCAGAAGCCTGGCTAATTCTGCCTGCCTGCCTGCCTAGCCTCCATGCGCAGGCATCTTTAAAGTTTTTATCCCCCACATGTGCGTCGCCCTCACCAGCCCATGAAACCGACAGGCGCTGGTGGGTCCTCGACGCGGTCTCACTACCCCTTCTTTTCAGCACAGGGCGGCTGGACAAGATGATGTCACCTCTCTTTCAAGGATCCCACCCAGGACAGTTTGGGGTCCCGGCTTGGCTACTAGGTCAAAGGGCGAGAACAGGGGAGACTTGGTGTTTCCAAGTTCTCTCTTTCCTGACTGTAATTAATTAAATTGCCGGCTCATCTCTGCAGAAACCCAAGTTAACTTGGAGGCGAGGCAAGCCCGCCCGCCCGGCCGCCTGCCCACTAAGACTACAGCTCTCGAGAACCTAGGCGCAGGGCAGCTGGCCCGGCCTCCAAGGTCACGGGGAGGGGTCAGGGTGGGAAAGACTGAAGGACGAGCACGTCTCCCGCATGCCCACCTCAATAACCCCTTCTCAGCTCCTTCCACCCGGGGATGGGGCGGCGGGGGGGTCCAGGCCACCCATGAGGCGCTCCTCGGCCGAAGCGCGCGCGCCAAGCCTCCAGCGAGGACCCGGCGTGGGGAACGCGGGCAGCGGGCGGAGGACCCGTGCGGGCCCCCCGCGAGCCC